CACTGGATTGGGCCGAAATGTTGCCCTGCTCTTTCTTTTCTGTGTTGGATTATCATTATTGCTGGCTGAAAACACAAATCCTTGCCATCCAATTTACATCTTCCAGGGCAACTTTAGAAAGAATACATGCTGGTAAGAATCATTCTCACAAATTCTGTCGCTCATGCAGAAGACAGGTGAGAGAAAGCAAAGCAGAACAGGGTTTGCAAACAAGGTTGCAACGCATTTGCATGAAAAGTCCCTGGTCACAGAATCAAAAGGCATCCGCGCCTGGTTGATATAAAGCCTGTAGGTCCCGATCCTGCTGGTGCGGGTCATGAGCAACTCGTTTCATTTGTTGCTGTTACTCATGCCCCTAAAACGAATGAGAGCTTTGCGAGAGCACAACACCGCAACTCGTGGTTGAAATATCAGCTTCCTGGTAAATAATGGACAAAGCAGGTGATTTCTTCCTTCTTTTTTCCCTGAGGTAGAGACCATTCCTGGTAGATTTTGGATGACGGCTCACAAGAAGCACCCTTGGTCATTAAAGGAGAGGAATGAAACTTGGTTCGGGAGCATTGCAATAAGAACAACAGTCATAGCAAGAGTCCGGATTTGCAGAGCACGTTTCAAGTGTTCAAACGTACTTCATACGCATCGCGTTGGGACAGCCTGATCATCACTGCAGATGCAGAGGAGGAAGAGCCGAGAACTGGACTGCTTGCCCAGGACAGCTAACAACAGCACGGGCATTTCCCAGCCAAAATACTATTTCTTATCCTGCTTGATTTCTCTACAGGTTTCCTCTTATGACAACCAAGAGTTATGAAGAAATGCCCAGGTACTCCTTGGACCAGTGCTTCATCTAGCCAGGGCAACGGCAAGCAGCTTGCCTATCAGCCTTGCAATTCCGTCGGGCAATGGAGAGCTGGTGCATTTTCCTTGTTAAGAAGGGTTATTTTTCAGTATGAGTCTTTCTTCAGTAGGAGCAGAGGTCCCTCCATTTTTGTGGCTACTGCTAGGAAATGATTTAGCAATCAAAAGGCTTGGCTTGCACGGGGTGCTCCTTCGATTCGTGTGGAGAAACAGGCCACCTGTGTCCATGCACCGGCACCGCACTGGGCACCTGAGCTGTCCACTGTGCTGAACGGGGAGGTGGGCTGGGTGTGCGTTGCACCTCGCATTTGTTTCCGGAGTACCAGCCCCTGGTTAGTCCCATTTGGGAGCCCAGAGGCTTCATCTTGGGCTGGAAGTGGGAACGGTAACGAGGGAAGATGCGGCAGAATTTACCTTACTTGGAACGTGAGTGCGGGCATTCCAGGTTTTGCCTCCTGGCCATTTCTGTGGCTATTTTGTTATGGTACTTTAAAGAAACCCCCAAACAGAGTAAAATCTACTCATCTAAAAACAATGAATAATAAAAACAATTGATAATAATTAATAATAATCTTTAGAGGTTCGCATCCATCAGTTGTCTCATACCCATGGGAAATCCACACTGGGTTAAGCCATCATATTTCCAGGAAGGAAGGAAGGAAGGAGGGAGGGAGGGAGGGAGGGAAGGAAGGAAATGTATTTCTATGCTACAGGCTACTATAGACTCACTAATCAAATGGCACAACAGTTTCCCTTTTAATCAAAGGAAGCAGTGACAAATAGTTGTTTACAGTATCACGATAACATGATATTAAATTAAGAGCAGGTTCATACAGCCCGAGGAATTTGAAGCTGAAGCTAGTCTGAAAATTATGTTGTTTGCTTTGGCAACAGCCCTTCATGTAAATCTGAGACTTCGTATCACTGAAGTCATGTTAAAATCAACAAGCAGGGACACCAGAACTTGATGTACAATCAAAATAAATGTGGACCTTTCCTTTCCTTTCCTTCACTATAACCTAAGCAGGCAACAAGGTGGGAGACCTCCCTTTAAATCCCTCCTCCAGCCTCCATGAGCTGGGTAGGTCAAGAGATGCTGAGCAGACTAGAAATCACCGGGCTCCGCATGGCTCCCCCCACCTGGTCCAGTGTCCCCAGCCTGATGCCTCTGGATGCACCGGACTGCAATGCTCATCATTCCTACTCACTCCGAGACATCTGGAGGCTGGAGAAGGTTGTTGTGCCCCCCATACCACAACGGGGTGGGGTTCTGCACAGAGGATTCCCGGTATGCCCCCACACAGCAGTTCCCAAGAGACACGGAGCGGGGCAGGATGGGCCTGAGAAGATGCCCCCAAAGGCACCCTGCCTCCTTCCGCCTGGCTTTCTTTGCTCCCTGCTCCCTGGGATTCCTCCACAGTTCTTCCCTGCCTGGAGGTCAGAAGGTATTCCGGAAAGGAGCCTCCCAAACTCTTCACCCTTTGCTGGCTCTCTCGGTGGCCTTCACAGCCAAGAGAGCCAGTGATCGGCCACCTTTATGGAGGACCGCCCTCTCTGGGACGACGCTGCAGCACAAGAGGCGTGTGCGCAGATCACGTTCGCCTCCTCGTCTTTCTGCTGGATGAAACCTGCAGACAGAAGGTTTACGTTCTACAAAACAAGCAAATGTGTTGCCCAGAGGAAAGGGAAGGAGTGATGGAAATGCCCACTCATTTCCTCATGCTGGTGCCGACGGGAGAATTTCAGGAATTCTTAATAAGCTTTCTTTAAAAGAGGACGGAAGGAAGGAAGGAAGGTCATAACAGAATGCTTGCTGTTTAACAAAACACGTAAACTAGCTTCTCCTCACCCCTTCTTTAATGTCTTTTCCTTCCCCCCCAAAATTCAATTCATTCACTGTTTTTAATCACTGCATATAAAAATAGCTATTGGAAGTCAACATTAAAAAGAAAAGAAAACACGAGGACGGAGGGCTACTCTGGAGGTGGAGCGAGCCATGCGCAGAGCGCACGCGATGGCGGGGGCCCCGGAGCCACGCTGGCTCCTTCCGTGGGCAGACATGGGGGGCTCCCCTTGCCCCAAAGGGAGCCCTGCATGCATTGACGGAGCCCTCTTGCCTGCATCGACGGGGAAGGGGGCACCTTTTCATCTCCCACCACCGATCTTGTGGGAACCTCCTTCTTCTGGTCTCCTTTCGCTGCTTCGACTACTCGCACTGAGGTAGGTAACCAGCCTATCGGGACAACGTGCGGCATCCTAAGGCTTCAGGCACGAGGTCCATCACCCTCCGAGCTGCCACCGGTACCCTAAGGAGCAGCTGCAGGGGAGCCCTCGACACCGACGGCTTCAGGGGCCAGTGGCATCGCATGCTTTGGGGGAGCTCAGCTTTGCCCTGAGCAGACAGCTCCGACTGGGGCCTGCTTGGCTGAGACATGGGACATCCCTTTGAGGACACAGGTACCGGACACTGGCCTGCCCCGGGGCGCCTCGTGTGAGTTTAACACGCAGCTCTGGACAGTGTCCCATGCCCTGTGGCAGCTGGCACACTGCGCGTGCGGCTCCAATCCTGAGCATCCCTGGTGTGAAGGACTTCAGGTGGGAAGGCTGCTGGAGAGAGAGAGACAGAGAGAGTGGGGGAGAGAGGCGGAGCTCCTGCCGGGAAGTGCAAAGAGGCATTTCCCCGAAACAAGAGGGTGCTCTTCAAATGGACAGGGCATTGCTCAGCTCTCTGGTTCCAGGAATAGACCTCTCTTTGTCCAGTGAGCCAGAGGAGACACGCTTGGGCCAGCTGGCCCAGTGGTCCTCCGACTTGCTACAAGGCATTGGATGACCGGAAGCCAAACGGGCTGGGTGAAAGCGATGCGCCCCTTCACACATGTCAACCCCCACTTGATACTGCAGTAAGCAAGCAAGCAGGCATGTTGGGAAGCAGCTCTGGACGGTGGCCTGGAAAGGAAGGAGCTCCTCAGTAGTAACTTGTGAGCAGTAGCGACCTTCTACAGGCGAGCGTGGTCTTGAGGTCGCCGGTGGCCGCCTCCCACTCAACCCAACCACTCTTCGAAGTTTCCAAAAGACAAACGTGATGTAAAAGAACTCTTGACACAGGAAAACGCTACTCAGGTGAGCTAGCAACTTGCCTAAAAGGAAAGCAAATAACACTAGGGGGAAAGGTCATCAACACCCACTACCGGACATAAATCCATGTCGCTCATTTCGATTTCTCTTTTGGAATACTGGGACCAAGCAGAAACTGAGAGGTGAAGGGCAAGAGGTGTGACGACACAACACACGGTTCTTCTATAAAAAATGTCTTGAGGTAGAACATTGCTTTCAAGGTTTTGGAAGTGCTTTACACTGGAACGACAATGACAATAAAGGAATACTTTAAAAACCCAAAAAACAACCAACATGGTAGACATGGAGTGTGACTTCTGAGGTAGTACCAAAACATGTACTGACCAAGCGCTACGCTACAAGCTTTGAAAAGAAAAGGAAGACACAAGATATTTGCTTCTTCCCAGAAGACATTCAATTCCGGTTGAGGTAGGTTCTGAGTTTACTTGGGGTATTAGTCCAAGTTTTTGTTTTCTCTTTTTTTTTCAGTAGCCTTTTTGCAGGCCTTTTCTTCTTCTTTTTTGACACACTCGCTTTGCTGTTAAATAGTTAATCAGCAACAAACATCCTGAGAATTATCGAGAGTTGAATGCACATGACGAAGTTGTCGGTCGCTCCATGGAAAGGTTGGCCAACCAAGCTCCTGAGGTTCTTGGGAGCAAACCTGGAAGGATCCACCCGTCACCACTGTTCTTGACATGGTACAAAAATGGATCCCCAGATAAATTATCCTAAAGCTGCCAACAAGGAAACACATTGGTTCATCAAGACAACCACTGTTTCCCATTGCATTTGGTGTCCATGGTTGCTGAGGCAAAAAATGTCTTCAGATGCCTCCAATTCAGCAGCTGTAGAACAGCTGAGATCCAGAGGGAAAGGAATGTACTAAAAGGCCTGAGGCAAAGAAACAGACTGTAGAAATCTTAAATTGACCTGAGATTGATGAGTCATTTTAAAGACATTGCCAGACACACAAAATGTTCACTGGCACATCCTACAAGAAGCTTTAACGTCTTGGCAATTATTCTTCATTGGTTGGAGCTGGGTTCGAAGCTGGTCCTTCTTGGCCGACGCGAAGCCGAAGTTTGCCCTGTGTGCCTGAGGGCAAGTCTGGAAGTGGGGCATCGATCTGCTCTTCCGTGATGCTGAATTCGTCTGGCAGAAGCGTGGACATCTGCGTTTCGTTAGGTGAGGTAGCAGGAATGCGATCCAGCTGAGAAACGGGAGCAAAAAGCAAAAGCGGCTCTTTCAGGGCACAGCAGTTGCTCGCGGCCTTTTTGAACAAGGGAACGTGGCCTGTCCCAGACTGCACAGATTTCTCCTCTTTGGCCAGGATCCCCTCTTCTAAACTTTCTCCTTGGCACCACCTCCTCCACCCTCAGCCTGCACGGAAACCCACCTGATTTTCGGGAGGAGTATTTGCATTTCTGCGCCTCCAGTCACCTGCATCTCCCCCTTTCCTTCCTCTGCTGCCCCCCAACGTGGACTCTCCCAGGCCTGTCCCTCCCTGGCTCCTGCTATTCTAGGAGCTGCCGTGGCATTCAGCTGGCAACACAAAGGAAATGCGCCGCTGGCGCCAGCGCATCATTTTCCCAGAATGGCTCATTTGCGAAATGGCTCATTGCTCCCAAGATGCAGGGAGGCTCTGCAGATTTACGGGGAGGCCCTGCTCATTGCCGGGTCGGACAGCGGGATGGCCGCCTGCGGCCGGCTTGTTTCGCTGGTTCTACTGCTGCTGGGGCGCTTAGTCACCGAGTTCCAGCGCCATCGGCCTGCACAGCACTTCCGAGAATGACGCAGCCTGAAAGAAGGCCCCTGCGCCAAGGACCTTACAGTCTGGGTGCGGACGATGGGAGGAGGTGGAGAAAGAAAGGCAGGGGGTGGAACAAGCGAGCGAGGCAGACGAGCGACTGGAGCACCAAGCGACGGTGGACCTCTGTGGCCCAGGATCCAGTGCCGCCGAGAGTGTTTGCATTCCGAAAAAAGGAGGGCGAGCGAAAGTCACCATTTTCTTACCGTTATACCCTTACTGTGTGGATCGGGAGGGGAAGGTGGTGCCGGGAACAGCCTTTCCAGTTCATTCATGTCCACCTGCTTCCCATTTGCATCTGGATCGTGCCTTTCCCTCGGAGCAGATCCATTCAGGGCTAGGCCCACGGCATTTCTGTGGCTCCTCTGGATCTGTGGAGTCGACAGCTGCTCCTGGACGTTTTTACACATTAGCAGGCTGTGCAAACGAGAGGCAGAACCAAAACCTGTCTGGCCACGCACTTTCAGGGGCATCACCAGAATCCTACAGCTGCTGGTCAGTGGGAAGGGCCATGGTTCAGTGGTGGAAACTTGCCCACCAAAGCTCCTCAACTTCAGTGGAGAGGGCTCAGAAAGGATTCTGCCCAAGGTGCTGCTGGCCAGTGCAGGTGCCCAGGTTCCCTGGAGATGGCTGAGAAGGGGCACTGCTATCGCACTGCTGCATCTGGGCTGGGAAGGAAGCCGTGACAAGCCAGCATCACAGCTGGGTTGAGCTGGGCCTGTGTGTCCTTCCATGAGACACTCCTGGGTAGGTTGCTGGGAAGCGAGGGACTCCAATGCAGCAGCTACAATCACGGCTGTGCACACAGACACCTGCCCTCCGTGAATTTATTCCAGTTTAACAATAATTAACTGGGAGATGGCCATCTTTCTGTTTTCTGGCCAACTTTCCATGTCCGGAGCGCTGTCGCTAACCCTGCATCTCGCTGCACTGCAGCTCTTGGGGAAGTCACTTTTCTTTTAATTTGGTTGCCTGCTGGGAAATGAGAATGTGCGACCCACCACAGCGACCACACTGGGGAAGCCAGCCCCCGGCACAAGGCACCCCTTGCCTGGGAGCCCCCCGCTACTATCCCAGCATCGCACGGCAGGGTGCCAACACACGGCTTGTGAAGGGGGCTACCCCAGTCGCAGCCCACCACTCATGCCTGAGCGTGCTGGTGCACGTGTGGGGTTTTTGCTGGGGGGGGGGGCACTGGCAGAGGGCCCGGATCAACCACGCTCTGCGGATTCCTGGTGCTATGATTCGGAGGGGCTTCTGAGCCTCGGGAGCAGTGCTGGGGCCCCGCTGTGCCACGCCGTGGCCCTCAAAGCAGCCACGAGTGGGGGCAGAGGAGGCCAGCTGCGGATGGAGAGTGAGCGAGCGGGTGAAGCAGCCTCTGCTGGAGCCCCTGCTGGACGTGGCTGCGGATGCGAAGGCCTGACCGCCTACACAAAAGCAGCTGCCCCTAGCTGGGCACCGCCCCACAGACACACCGGACAACTCCCATCATCCCCAGCCACCCGGACACATCTGGAGGGCACACTGGCCGGGCCAGCCGGGCCTGAAGCGCAGTTCCCGGGGCATCCGCCAACGTCTCCGGGAAAATCTGGGGGGAAGGAGGGACTCCTCCAGCTGCAGTCCTAGGCGCCCCACCCCACGCTCCTGGCACGGGGCACGGACACCCACCGTCCTCGGTAGCCAAACATGAGGAACAGGACACAGAAGATGATGCAGGTCACTCCGATGTGGATCCCAATGACGATGCCCGTAGCCGAGGTCTTGTTGCCGTGCTCGTCCTTCAGACAGTTGCATGGGGGATTTGACCCTGGGCGACGGAAAAGCGTGCTGAGGGCCGGCCGGAGCCCTCTTACTTGCGGGCCTGGTTTCTGCCTGGCCTCTCTGCCCACACGCACCACACTCAGGGCTGCTCATGGGCATAATTACGGCAGGTTCCGACAACAGAAGGTATGACAATGCAACATAAACATGTCGACAGTTACGTACAGGCGGGGGAAGCTTGCACGAGCGACAGTGTTTGCAAGGGTGCTTAAAACCTGCCACATTTTCTGCCTCTTGGACCACATGTGGGAGAGAGTTCTAACAGCAGGCGCCACCATGGAGAAGGCCCTGCTATCTGGTGATATCCCACCGGCCAAAGAATGACCAAAAAGGACTTCTCTAATGATCTCAGCGGAGGACTACAAATACAGGAAAGCAGAAAGCTTGGTATCCTGGTCGCCTCACCTGCTTTTTCGGTGCTCTCTCGAAGAGACACGAAGCGGACGGTGGCGTTCCCGTCCCCGTGCTGGTTGTATGCGAGCAGCTTGACTTCGTACACAACCGCAGGGTCTGCAAGGGAAAGGGGGAGAGGGATGGAGGCACGTGCTTCAGTGGTACTAAGGCTCAATACTGTGCAGATCTGCCCAGATTGGAAAAAGTCCGTGAATTCGCCGCACTGTCCCATCCATGCGCTCTCCGCTCATTCCGACAGAAGCATAGAAACTGGGCAAGTCAGAAGGGGTCTCCCGGGCCATCTAGTCTGACCCCCGGCTCCAGCCAGCTCCGCTCACGACATGCCCACCACGTGCATGTCCAGCCTATCTTTGAACAGCCTCACCGATGGGGCCTGAACCACCTCCCAGGGAAGCCCATTCCACACCCTCAGGGTCCTGACTGTCAGGAAGTGCTTCCTGGCATCCAAATCGGACCTTGGCTCCCTGAGCTTTGCTCTGTTGGAGCGTGTCCTGCCTTCCTCTGCAGGGGAGATCAGGTCTCTGCCCACCTCCGCGTGACACCCCCTCATGAACCTATGATTAAAGGGGCGAGCCGATCCTGCGGCATGCAACTCCCAGCAGCTGGACTGTCCTGCAGCTATCAGAGGGGGAGGTTGCACATGATCCGTGAGGCGCACGTGGCCCGGCCACTCACCCCCTTCACCCCCCCAAAAGTGGGCAAGAGAGGGATGCCCCGTAAGGGGTGGGCAGGGACGGACGCTCCCCCGCCTCGCCTGGCATTGAGCCGAGGACTAGGCAGAACGGGTCGTCGGCAGCCGCAGACGGGCAGAGCAGAGGTGGAGACGCGCCCCCCCCGCGACCCTGCAGGCCTCTGGCCCCGACTCACCGAGGCGAGTGATGTTGTGCGCGGTGGTGTTGCCAGCCAGAAGCAGGGGGCCGACGAAGTGGGAGACGTGCACCTTCCGGTAGTAAAGCTTGAAGCCCTCGTGCTGGCCCAGCTTGAGGGAGGGCTCCCACGTGGCCTGGATGGCGGTGCTGTTGAGCACCTTGATGAAGAGGGACGGCACCGCCGGCGCTGGAACAGAGCAGCGGGAAGAGGCTTCTGGTGGGACGGGTCTCCCCAGGCGCCGGCAGCAGCCCTTCCCCAGAGCCCTCTCCACCAGGCCAGGGATCTGGACGCGACTCGGGAGCCCTCGGGGCACGGGGCACCGACGCTCATCTGAAGCAGGTGCCCTCAAATGGCCTTTCGGATGCACCGCAACACCCCGGAGAGGTTGCACGGCAGTGAGGGAGCCGGCAAGGAGAAGGAAGAGAACAGATGCACACACCGGCCCGCCCGTGGGCACGCAAGTTGACGCCACAAGCGGGTCCGGCCATCACCCTCCCCTCCCACTTCTCCCTGTGGAGGGGCTCCTTGGAGAAGGGCTAATAGGATTTCCAACATAACTGACATCATATATAACTCGATGCAGAATCAGGATCTTTTTTTCGGGGGGGGGGCACATTTTAGGAACTGTGAAGGCGAAACAGTTGGGAACTAGGATGTGTGGAAGGGGGGTGCATGTGGCGAGATCAAACCCCACCCAGCTCTTGGGGAGTTCAGCATTCCCAGCTCTGGCATTCATGGCTTCCAAGAGGAGATGCTTTGGAGTAACAGGCCCCTTCTGCAGGCACAGCGGGTGGTCCTGCGCTGCACTGGACCCCTACCTCTGGTCATGCCAACCCTGGCCGTGCCCCAGATGTGCCTTACCTTCCCCCAGCGTGCTCACCAGCACGACTTCAGAGGACTTGCTGGCCCCGCGGGAGGTGTAGGCCTTGATGTAGAAGCTATAGCTGGTGGAGGGCTCCAGGTCAGTCACCAGCTGCTGGAAGGTGTTCTTGCTGACGGCCTCTTGGTACTCCATCTCCACGGGGTCTGCAGTGCAAGGGGAAGCAGGCCTCCGGATTCCCGCCGCAGGGGAAGAGCTGCATTCCAAGCCTGCCACCCCGGGGCGCTGCAGCTCGGGGGACACGGGTGCTGTGCCCGCCTCGTCTGGCGGCCGGGCTCTCCTGGCAGCTCAGGGGCAGCGCGGTCTTCCCAGTGGCCCAGAAAGGCCCTCCGGGCTGGGGCCAGTTGCAGAGCCCCAGGAGGCGGGGGAGTCACTGCGGAGGGAAGCTTCCCATCCTTGCTCCCTGACCCAGGCTTCCTGGAGGGGCATCTTGCCCAAGCTGTTGGTGCTGGACTGTGCCACTAGATGTCGGGGCCCAACCACACGACGAGTCCCTCCCTCCCTCCCTACACCAATTTCCCCCCTTCCTTCCGTCATGTGGCTCAAGGTGGCCACAGGGCATTCCAAGCTGGGCACCCCTCCTGGCTCGGACCAGGCCCAGCCCTGCTTAGCTTCAGCAAGTTGCTAAGGTCTGGTGCCTTCCTTCCCGTCAGCAGCATCAGCTCACAATGCAGCTCACCAATCAGGCCCACACAGCGTAGCCAAAAGACCTGCAACCACCCCCAGCTTGCCCCAGAGCTCGAGAGGACGCCTTTTGACCTCCGCCCTCTCTTGAGCTTCCTCCCTCCCAGGCCACCTTCCCTCTCCAAGCCCCTCCCCATAGGGGGCCTGGGAGGAGGTCGGAGAGGTTGCTCCTTGTGTCCCCCATCACACCTGAAGATAGCAGGGGGACGCCCTGGGCCCAGCACACCTGTCGGAAAGGGGAGCAAATAAACCCCAGTGGGAAAGGCTGGGGCAGGTGAAGCCAGCCCCTGCTTACGCTGGTGGGTGCAGGAGTCCAGCCACCAGAATGGGGCCCCACCACCTGCCGGCTTGAGCCCGGGGCCATCAGCTTGGCTCGGCCATTCCTCCGCTTGCCACCTCTCGGCGGATCAGTGTCCCGGCCACCCTTCTTACCCGCCGCGCGCCTGATGTGCAGGACGTAGCCGATGATTTCCTTGGTGTTCTGCAGAGGCTCGCTCCACAGCACCTGGATGGTCGTGGCCGAGACGGTCTCCGCCTTCACCTTCTGCGGCGGGCCGGGCAGCCCGTCGGCCCACAGCACCGTCAGCCGGGCGCTGGCCTGGGTGGAGCCCGCGCTGTTCTCGGCGAGGCACTGGTAGATGGCCTCGTCGTCCTTGCTGATGCTGTGGATGGTCAGGGTGCTGCGGAGAGCGGGGCGGTGAGGCGAGGTTAGCGCTCCTTGCCAGGGGCCTCCGACCTGGATAGGCGCCCAGCCCGCAGCCCCGGCCAATCCCCCCCCCCCCCCCGTGCACTGGAGAAGCATGCATCGAAAGGGAGGGCAGTTCTGCAGGGATGTCACTACACTGCCCTGCGTTGGGCAAGGTGGGAGAAGAGGTGGGGAAGCCGGGCACCCAGGATGGCAGCTCACACCCCGTCCAGGAACACGCCCGCGGCTTTATGCTGAAAGGCAAGAGCAACAGCGAGGAGGCGGAGGCGGCGGCAGCGTTGGGGCAGCGCCACTCCAACCAGCAGGAAGCCTGGCTCTGCCTTGTGTTAAAGGGACTGCAGCCTCCAGCAATTAAAATCCTAAGGAGAAAAGGGTAAATTCCTGGCGAGGCTGAGAAAACCGAGGAGGGACCCTTATTCAGGTGGCTGGAAATGTAGGAATATTCTGCATAGAGTAAATTTGTGATCCGTACAGTATGTAGCACATACTAATATATATCAATCCCACCTCATGGGCAAAGGTGAGCATTGCAAATGGACAAGAGTTGAGTGAATTACAAAATTCTGCAGCCGCACGGCGCATGCCATACACATCAGGTGTAAGCACAAACACGGATATTTGCAGGCAATCCACAGGTACCCTGATGAGGAGCACCTGTACCTCCCCACCTGTACCAAACTGATGCTGTCCCAGCCAGCATTCGCTGGAACAGAGAATTGTAAAGGTAAAATCGTCCTCATCCAGTGCAACCTGATTAGCTGATAGCTGGGGAAAGAAGGGAAGTGAAAGGCAAGGGTAAAAGGGAAAGATACAACCAACTGAATGCAGAATTCCAGAGAATGGCTAGAAGAGAGAAGAAGGCCTTCTTAAATGAACAGTGCAAAGAAGTAGAGGAAAACGATAGAATAGGGAAGACCAGAGATCTCTTCAAGACAATTGGAGTTATCAAGGGAACTTTCATGCAAAGATGAGCATGATAAAGGACAAAAATGGCAGGGACCTACTAGAGGCAGAAGAAATGGCAAGATTGCATGGAAGAACGATACCAGGAAGATCTCGATAACCACGATGGTGATGGGTCGGACACGACTTTGCGACTAAACAGAATGCAACCTGCTGAGGCCATCCACGCTACCCGGGAAAGGCTCAAAGAGGAATTTTGGCCTCCCGCCTGCCTGAGGGTGCAGGGGCAATGTACAAACGGGTGCAGGGGCACTCCTCCACGTTACTACTTTACCATCGTGCTCAAGTGTGCAAAGCCATTTTCACGGACGGCTGCGATAAGCTTTGCCGCAGGCAGAGGAGCAGGGTGGCCAGAACGGCGAGTTCGCAGCTGAGGCGGGTGGGGGTCGGCCCTTCGCCCCCTCCCTCACGCTCCGCTTTGTGAGCGGAGTGCCATCAGCGCCCCTCTCCGGGGAGGCTGCCGTCTTCTCACAGAAGCCATTAATGCCACAGATCCCTCCGTCCCCAGTGGGTGCTAGTAACTGCCCGGCTCTCTACAAAGCAGCTCCCAGCAGCATGGGTGGGGGCCGCAAGGAGGCCGTGCCCATTTCATTGCATTCATGATCTTTCCAGCCCGGCTTTTTTTCCAAAAGTGACTCGCGTTATGCGTTGTTCCCCCCTCCCCGTTTATGCCTTGCCAGCGCCTGCCAGGGAGGCCCGAGCACTGCAGTGCGTGTGCGCATGAGCGCAATAACAGCTTTCGAATATCCGCTCCCAACAAACCGGGCCCAGCCTCCACAGAAGGCATTCCTGCGCTGACAGGCTGTCGGACCAAAGCCATCGATGGGATGCGACGAGGGTCACCGCAAGCGCAGGCAGGAAGGGTGCCGTGGGAAGCCTGGGCTGCACGCGTGACGGGAGAACGCCAAGCGCCCACGCCCTCGCCACAAGCGCTCCTCCGGCGTGGCAGCCGGCGCATGGCCGCTGTCGCCTGCTGCTCATTTCCCATGCCACCCGCTCCCGTTCGGCGGAATCCCAGAACCGCTGTGGCCATCTTAGCACATGCTTATTCCTTCTTGCTCATCCCGGAGCGCATGTTTCCTAGGGAACATGGGCAAGAGGAAGGGCGGGGCTTGGCCAATGGGATTTCTGCAAACTGGCCAGGCGCCCATCTCAGGGCTGCCGATCCGGTTCAGCCCAGCTCCCGGGTCATCAAAGGCGGAGGGGGCGGGGCGGGGCGGGGGGGAGGCCCCTAAGCCGTGTCAAGGCAGCCCCAGATCTTGCCTGGACAGATGGCATGGGGGGGGTGCGACTCTCCAAAGCTTGCCCGTTCCATTTGGCATTAGCCTGCTGGGGAGGGAAGGAAGGAGCGGGGCGCCCAGGCAGCTGGCGAATGTCATCAGGCATGTGGGCTGGGGAGAGCCTGGTCACATCTGGGTCAGAAGCCGAGGGCAGGACCGTCCTGCTTTCTGGTTACAGACAAAGCAAGCCGGGAACGATGGGCACCGAGGGGGGAGAGCAGGCGGTCTTGATCAGGCATATACTTAAATGACAGGCTCAGTGTTTCTGTGCAAGGTGGAGGGGAGGCAGTATGGCCTAGCAGTTAGTGTTCAAGTGGGACACTGGACCTCATTTGTCCTTGTGATTTTGGGTCACTCACTGGCACCTGGCCTAACCTACCTCGGAAGGTTGTTGTGGGAATAGCACGGCAAGGAAGAGGATTGTGCAAGCCAATGCGATGATGATGATGATGATGATGATGATGATGATGATAGCAGCTGCTGCTGTGGCTGCAAGTACCAGTGCAAGTGCTGCCGATGGAATGAAAGAATGGAAAGCAGCAGGCAGAATCTGGCCAGCACGCGTGGCGGTGAAACCCACCACTGGCACCCAGGGAGACAAAACGAGCGGAAACTCTCTCTCCCAGAAAGCGGCGGGTCGGCGGAGGTTGTGGAGGGAGCCGCAGACGCCTCCCGCCCATTCCAGGGCTGCCGCTGCACAGCCCTCTGGCTGCATAAGCGACGGCGCACGCTTCCAAAGTGGGAGCTCGGCAGCCCGACTGGATCACGGGCATTTTCTCCTACATGCTTTTGTTCTGGTTTTTGCAGGGGGGTGGAATGAGGGATGCCCCTATTAAGGGCTTTAACCCCCCCCCCCCAAGCAATTTACTGTTAGCACTTGGCATTACTGGAAAATGCTTGCCGTTTTTAAAAACTGGAGCACTTTTTAAAACAGCCCAAATCTGCTTCCCTGCAACTTCCACTGTCTTCTAGCAGCAGCTGCAGCAGCAACAGCAGCAGCAACAGAAGATTCTGCCCCGTCTTCTGCAGGGCACCCCTTCCCTTGCCCTCTTCTTCCTCCCTCAGGCCGTCAACCTCCCTGCCACGGGGCCAAGACTCCAGGCTGCCACCGTGCAGGCGACCGACCCGGATCCAGGCCCCCTTGGGCTTAGCGGGCTGTGTGAATCTCACACACTTGTGTTTCAACTGGATGCCCCACGGCCTTGGCGAGCTCTCTGGGATGGCCGAGGCTCTGGCCTCAGACACTCCAGGAGCTCCGAAAGGTACAGGGGCAGGCAGCACAAAGGCCCTGGCTCAGCCAGCTGGTGTCAGCCCCACAACCCCGGTGCCCTTCCAGGCTGTCCCCATTTTGAGCAAGTTCTGCACATTGGACCCAGAGGGGGGCAGGGGGGGGGGGGGGGGGGAGGCCCACAGCAGCAAGCTCTGTGGGAAAGGGCAAACATCCCGAACCCTAAGCCCCGTGGAGTCTCAGGGCAAGAAGCACCCTTCTCTTCCCCCTACAGAGTTGGGGGACACGTCTCAGTCCTGTGCACAGCGTGTTCCCAAGCTTCATGTTATTCCCATCCCAGGAACAATATGGAGATTTGGGGTGGGAGAGGAAAGGGGCGACACCGGGGCCTTGGACGAGCCAAAACGGACCCGGAGCAACTCCGGCGAGCTTCGCGGACACAAGATGCTCTCGAGACTTTGGTCTTATCCAGTCCTTGGGCCTTCCCCCCGCAGCGACCGGCATCAGTTCTCTTCTGCGGGGGGCAGCAGAATGCCCAAGGAGGGAGCCGGACCTGCGGAGCCTGCGCCAGACCGTCTGCGACCCGTCGGGATGCAATGCCCGCGCAGGCGCCATCTGGCATCCGTGTGCGACGGACCCCCTGCGAAGCCCACCAGCCTTCGCGGGACAGGGCTGGGGGCTTGCTGAGACAGGCGGAGCAACCAGGCGGGCCAAAGGCCACGTGGAAAGCACTGCCAGCTGTCGTCCTCACTACGGGGAAGCCACTCGGCACTCGCACACGGCCTGGTGCGTGCAAGGAAGCCGAGGCAAGGAGCCACAAGGGTCGGAGTCCTGTGGGCATCCCGGAAATCGGGCTTCCCAGACGGGGAGGGCTCCAGATGAGCTGGGCTAGGACGCCCACTACACCCAGCTAACACGGCAGCTGGCTGGGGAGAATGGGAGCTGTGGTCAGGCATGGCGAGGGGAAATACTCCAAGTGGCTCTGGGCAGCAGGCTGGGCGCACGGAGTGACCCACGAAGTGGCCAATTCATGGCGAAGAGCAGCCATGCGCCATACAGGTATTTACAGATCCGACTGGCGCACTCGGCAAAGGGCAAGTCAGGGTGATTCACAGTCTTAAGGACTAAAAAGTGCTTCAACAATGAAAACAAACACTTGGCCGAAACAATAATAAAACAAACACATTAAAAACACAGTGGATCGGAGCTGACGTCACAGCACGCTTGGAGTGAGAGCACCTCCGAGTACCAAACGTGGGAGCCGGGTGCAAGTACGGAGCAGTAGCTCATGCCCTGCTTATTCATCTCCCAGAGGCCTCTGGCCCGCTGGCTGCTTCTTGCTCACAGATTTCAAGGTCTGCTCCAGCAAAGCCGCGCTTGCGTTCTGATGCCCCATGAAAAGCCGTGGGCCTGACAGCAAGGCATCCCCCCCCCCGCCGCCCTGCCCATCCTGAGTGCCTCCTGGAGGCTGCTGTGGAGGGAGGAGCCCTGGACTCAGAAAGA